TAGACTGTGGCGTACGGTATCATTAGGTTTCAATAGACTGTGGCGTACGGTATCATTAGGTTTCAATAGACTGTGGCATACGGTATCATTAGGTTTCAGTGGACTGTGGCATACGGTATTAGTAGAGTTCAATAGTTTAAACTGAAAACTGTTTTTGTTAAGCAATCTAAGCTTGGATGCAATAGAATTGATCAGGTAATTAGATCTGAAGAACAATATTTAATTCTATCATTGGAACTGCACATGTATTGACATGGCTCGTCACAGGTGATAGTCTTGTACAGTCTCTGATCTGATGATTCTTTTTTAGAACTTCCGAGAGAACAGCTTCGAGCAACTGTGCATCAACTATGCCAATGAGACATTCCAGATGTTCTTCAACAAGCACGTTTTTAAACTCGAACAGCAAGAGTATGCCAAGGAGAAGATAGAGTGGCAAGCCATCAGCTACCCTGACAATCAGCCTGTCATCAACCTTATTTCCAAAAAACCAGTAGGAATATTCCCCCTCCTGGACGACGAAAGTAACTTTCCAAAGGTAGGTAGAAGAAACACTTACAAACTTTCCAAAGGTGACTGAATTGAACAGGATTGAACCAACATTCTTACGTCCATTCAGGTATAATTTTTGAGTTTTTTCTCAGGACCACCCGCACCAGCACCCTTCTTGATCGTTCAGACCTGAAAAACACACAGTACAAAATGCTGTTTCCAACACTAGACAGATGGCAGGATATGAAACTATTGAACATGGTGACTGAATGTTGATTGGGTAAAGAATAAAAGCTAATTCCAACACGACTTACACTGAACAACAATATCGTCTTGAGAAACAAGTGCATCAACGTTTTCTTGAGAGAGAGAGAGGACAAGTGCAGCAACACAAAATTGTCACTCAGCTCTTAATAATTATAATTAAAGCAACCCCATGATACAGATAAAGATGTTGCATACAAACTATTTAAGTAGTTATGAAATGATAAATATATGTGGGAGTAAATATGACAGTTAAGTGCATCAGGTATTAATCCTTATACATGAGTAGATTTTTTAGCATTAATAACTTCTTTTCCCCCTTGTATATATACGAGTATCATAAAACTACAACCTGTTTTATGTTCTAAAACTTCTGTTAAATAGTCTTCATTGTTTTTGGAGTGTTCATAGTAACATTACTGTTTATTATAACATGCAAGGGAACCTTATAATAATTTTACAGGCCACCGATGTCTCGTTTCTGGAGAAATGTCACTATAATCACGCCCTCAGTGAATTGTACAGCAGACCCAGGATGTCATCGATGGAGTTTGGTGTCCAGCATTATGCTGGTCAAGTCTGGTATTCCGTGGATGGCTTTCTTGACAAAAACCGGGACACTTTCCGTGCAGATGTCATGGACCTGTTGATCAGCAGTAAAATCTCGGTAGGTGTCATCGTTGATTTTCAAATATTCTTGTAGTAGAAGATATAAGGACAACAAGAGTATTTGAAAATTTACACGATAGTAGATGATGTTTGTTGTTGTAATCTAGGCACAAAGTGACAAATGTGTAATATATTATTTTATATTGTTATCGAAAGAGTTGTGAAAATACTAAAATAGTATCATTCTGACACTGGTCATGAAAGCTTTTTACAGAACACTAAAATAGTATCATTCTGACACTGGTCCTGAAAGCTTTGTACAGAACACTAAAATAGTATCATTCTGATACTGGTCCTGAAAGCTTTTTACAGAACACTAAAATAGTATCATTCTGATACTGGTCCTGAAAGCTTTGTACAGAACACTAAAATAGTATCATTCTGATACTGGTCCTAAAAGCTTTGTACAGAACACTAAAATAGTATCATTCTGATACTGGTCCTAAAAGCTTTGTACAGAACAATAAAATGGTATCATTCTGATACTGGTCAAAAGCTTTGTACAGAACAATAAAATGATATCGTTCTGTCACTGACACTGGTCCATAAAGCTTTTCACAGAACAATAAAATGATATCGTTCTGTCACTGACACTGGTCCTAAAAGCTTTTCACAGAACAATAAAATAATATCGTTCTGTCACTGACACTGGTCTTAAAGCTTTGTACAGAATACTAAAATAATATCGTTTAATTAGTAATAATGACCTTTGATGTTTTACGTGTAATACTAAAACTTTAACCTTGTCGCTATTATTGGTGTTTGTAATATTTGTCTACGATTCAAAGTTTGGTTCAGTCCTTGACACTGCACTGCACATTAAGGGTGGGTTATAACTCGTAATCTCAGCATTGCTCTAATATTAAATTCTACAGGAAAACTACCTGGTCATTAATACTTAATGAATTTCAGCTTTCTTTGTGTTCAGTTTCGAGTAAATCAGAATATCGAAGATCCACAACGTGTAGAGTAAAACGTTTAATTTTTTTTTCTATCAAGAGTAATAACGTATTATAACGTGTAATTAAATTTTTTGATATAAATTTATTTGGTGTTTGAGTATTAAATATAAAAAATCAAATATTGTAATATTAAACAATTCTAGTAACTTTTCAGGCTTTCATCGTGAGTACTCATATTTGTATTAAGTAATTTGTTAGGACTATCACCACGATATTTGTTTTTTATGCAAAAGCTTTGGCATCAATTACCTAAGCCTTCTACAGGTGCAATTCGTTTATTAAACAATAGGATCTAACAACAAACAAGAACGTGTTCTACGTTTCTTTACAACAATAAGCCTGAAGTCTAATACGCTAAAATACAATAATAATAATACAAGGTCAAGAAACGTAGTAAGTCATATTATTATTGTGGTTTGTTAACATCACGCCATAAAGATATAATCAACAGTAAAAATTACTAAAGTAAGATCAACAAAATGAAAAAGCAGGTTACTTTTAAAACAGCATTAGAGTCAATGCATGGTTTGATTTCCTTAAGGAAAGACGACCAGTAAGTATGAAGGGGGAATCCATGATATTGGTTAATGCCTGTATGAGGACCACAGTCATGTGCTTCTATTGGAATGGATTTTTTAATTTTGGTATTACAGCCCTGGGCAATTATTTATATATTCTTGAGGTCAACGTTGTGGTTTTCGTGTAATACCATGGCTGAAGTACCTACAGAAGTATGTGTGATGTCTCTTTGATGTTATTTCATTTTCTCTATACTTTAAAATGAAGGATGGTACTTTTCTTCTGTTTTTGTTTAAATTTATACATTGAAACTACGGCCATTTTGGCTTCGATACATTGATGCTATTTTTGTGTTATGCGAGCACGACATACGAAGTTTAAATGAGTTTTTATTACATCTATATAATCAACACGCTTCTATAAAATTTACCCGAGAAGTAGACACAAGTAACTCCTTACGTTTTCTGGTTGTATAGAATAGCGATGACCTGAAACTAAAAAATATTGTTTATCGAAAAGAAACCCATACAAAAAAAATATCTTAACTTCAAATCCTGTCACCCCGTATCTGATAAAATTCGAATTTTTCCGTTAGATCTTGTTGTGTACCAAACGTCTGGCACCTGAAGAAGGCTTAGGCAATTGAGCCGAAAGCTTGTGCATAAAAACAAACTAGAATAGCGTGATGATAGTCCAAATAAATTATTTAATACACATTAAATAATTCTGTTTTCAGATGATAGCATCGATGTTCTTAGACTTACGTAAGACCAAGGAAGCTGCTAAAACCATCAATAAAAGTAACGGTAGGTTTGTCACCATGAAGCCGAGAACACCGACAGTGGCTGCCCGTTTCCATGACTCCCTCCATTCTCTTCTGGAGACGATGGTGAAGTAAGTATTATCAGTACAATAATGTCGGAGAACGATTCGTTTATGTGAACTACAATAATCAGTATATTGTTGGACTGTTTCAAAGTAATTAATATTCTCATATGATGTTGAAAAAGAGAATTTCCAAAGTATTGTGGGACGCTACTTGAGATAATGTCCGTTTGTAAACTTTTGTATTGTTCCAGCTTTCTTTTAAGAAATTAGTTTGTAGCTAGTAGATCTTCACACAATTCCTAACTTGTATTTTAGATTGTTTTAATATCACTGTCATTAGTGTAGAAGGCGTTGTCTACTTCTTAAAATGATACAGGACAAGAAGAAAAACTGCATAGAATTTTTGTATCGTAATTGTTTCGTTGGCGGGGGGCTTAACATACTTGCAACGTCCATTAACTTACTCTGTTTCCTCCTCTAACGTTTCTACTAACTTGCACGCTTGTACATTGCCGTGAAGTGCTGTAGGCCTACGTTACAAATGACGTTAACTAACGTAAAACAAAACTACTTATTGCGATAACTAACACCCTTATTAGTTCACTATATATCTCGAAATCAACGTTGACACTTCACAACTATCTCGTTTTTATAATCTTGTTTCGAACGTGCTAGAACACTAATTCCCGTCTTTAGTTTTCTGGATGTTCTAAGCCTATCTTATTAAACCTTTTGATTTTAACGTCACCATTAAGACCCGCAGCACCCTTTAGCTAACAGGTAAGTACAACATTAAAAATATAGCTTTGCATATTTTTATTCTTGGACTTAGTGAAGAGAATTTGAAAAATGTTGTTCATGTGGGAACCTTACAGTTGTTTAATCCGAGTTTTGAATAGTGTTTCCCTCTACCATTAACTAAAATAACTTGAATAATAACTATTTTTATTTCCTTGTTTTTTGTATTAAAAGTTTATAGAGAATTACATACTTAGTTTTTTGAAATTCAGATTTAAAAAACAAAATGGTTTGAATATTGAGAGTTTAGAAATGAAAGTTCCCGGTTATCTCTAGGGTTATTTTCTGCGAACGGCGAGATTCCATCTCACTTTCAACTGGCATATATTTCATTTTTATATACAAATCAAGGCAGTTGACATCAAGAAACTAACACCCTGCAAATCGCCATATTTATTAAGTTAACATTAACAGGTGAAAACAAGCTCGAAACATCTCTGACCGAAAAGCATGCGATTTAACATAATCTTCACTCGGCGCTGTTCGTGAGAGACAAATAATAAATCTGTAAAACAACAGGTCAACAAATTACAAAACTGCTCAACTAGATGATCAAATAGTTCACAGTTGCCACGTGCTAGCTCATGGGTGTAATATTAAAATGGTCGTATTCATTTTGGACATAAGGCTATTTATCTTGAATTAAACAACTCGGAACAAAAGGAACGCAGACATTCGGTTGGGAGTGGATGTAAGACCTTCTAAACAAAGACAAAGTTCTTTTGTCTTTAAACCATCACAGGCTAAATATCCAAATATAACTTGACCTAATAGTATACTCGTGGCCGTCTTACACCTTGCCAGCTTACACTGTGTAGACAAGTAATAGATGTAAAATATACTACGGTCTACCAGATATTTTTTAGAGTAGACAAATAAAAGGATTAAAACGAGAGACTGATCTACCACAGTGAATTGAGGAATATGGGGATTCAAATGAGAGATTGATCTACCACAGTGAATTAAGGAATATGGGGATTCAAATTAGAGATTGATCTACCACAGTGAATTGAGGAATATGGGGATTCAAATTAGAGATTGATCTACCACAGTGAATTGAGGAATATGGGGATTCAAATGAGATTGATCTACCACAGTGAATTGAGGAATATGGGGATTCAAATGAGATTGATCTACCACAGTGAATTGAGGAATATGGGGATTCAAATG